TACAAATATTTTACTTTCATTCTATTTAACAAATAAATTTGATCCTTTAATATGAACATCTGCATGCAGTATAACCAAAGTTTACTTTAATGGGAAATGAAGAGAGGAGACCCATATAAAGGTGGTGGTTCTGTTTTTTGAATGTGTATGGTTCACAAAAAAAAACTACACATCTCAATTTGGAACCTACAGCTGTTACCCACAACAAAATATTAAACATCTTTTTCCCAAATTTCTTGCAACTTAAGAGTTGTGGGTCCACATAACACAAACTTGACATAGTACAGTAATTGCTCAATTCTGTCACAAAAAAATCCTGAAGCAACCAGCAGAAATAAATTTTGAGTGTTTTATAACTTGAATGAAAACCAAATCCCTTGACAGGAAACAAGTGTCTTTAATTTCTGTTGTGCTGTATATGTGTGAAAAACATGGTTATATAATTTAAATATAGACAAACCTTGTACCACACCAGTGAGGGCTCCATATTAATTATCTAAAGCTCAGACATCATTTGTATTGCTGAACTAGACCCTGTTGTTTTACTGCTGCTATAATAAAGCTTATACTTAGAATTTATTTTATATAACAGGAAAACAAAGTAATTGTCGATTAAAACATTTTATTTTATTTACTCTGATGCTGTGACTCCTTTAAAACGTTGAATGACAGGAGTCCAGAGGAAATTAAACTAAATGTCTACAAATTATTTGGTCTTAATTCATTATTTATAAGTAAATTCAACATTTTCTATCAAATATTTCTAAGATTATGTATATGAAGGTCAAAAGCTTTTAAGCAGCAAGTTACTTACAGAAAGACTGTGGGTGAAGTCAGTACTGATTTTGAACCCATCTTGATATGTCATATATATTTGTCAAAAGACAGTCAGCCCAACAGATTTCTTTAGAATTGACAGTAATTCACAAGCCACAGGAGACAAGAGGAAACTACACAGAAGTACATTTGAATCACTTCTTTACCCAAAGAGCTGTGGGAGTACGGAACAAGCAACTGTAGTTGAAGCAGATACCCCGGCTTCCTTCAAGAAATGGCTGGATGAGATCCCTGGATCAAATTGACTACTAACAATAAAATGGGACAGAATGGTCTCCTCTTGTTTTGAACTATTATGTGATTACAACAGTACTCATCTTTACTGCGATTTAAAAAATCAATTACCACTGAAAAACATAATAAACTGAAGAGGAAGGAATCCCATTGCGATAGCCGTCAGATGAATGGATATTTTATTAAGAAAGCTATGTAGTTCTGACGGGAAGCATGTGCTGCTTCACAAACCAAATTCAAGTAATAGCACAGCGCAAACACTGTGAATTCTCCAACAGTTGCATGATTTACGGTCAGCTTAGAGATTTTACATCGCTGTTTTTCCCAAAAGCAAAGCCGATGCTCAGACGTGTCTCTTCTGTCTTCCACTGCAGTGCAACAGAGCTGAACATTTGTTCTCCTTTGCCTCCCAAATTGCTTCCTGGCACAATTCTGCTGCCATGAACCTTGGAACAGTGTCTGTACTTTTGGCCAAGGCATGATTTGGCTGGCAATTTTATTTGGCAACAATCTAAATATTGTCATAATGCAATTGTTTAGTGCATCACATTTTGGAATGTTATATTAAAGTGACACGCTCTTCTTTAAATGTTTTCTCTCAAAGTTGAGAATGGAAAGTTCTCTGTTCAGAGAAACCAACATACAGTATGTATGTTCTTATTTCTCCAACAGCACGTGCTATCTCTCCAGCGGAACCGATTCCCCATCAAGATGTACAGCAGATTTCTAGAGGGGAGTACCCTTTTCAGAATGCAAGTATTACACAATAACAGAATCAGAACTTTAAATGTACAAGACAATGCCCTTTTTCCAAATAAAGCCATTTTAAATGTGAACCATTCACTTTTTGCACCACTTCTAGGCACCAACTTTATTAGATAATTTCTCAGCAAACTGTTGTTTTCTAATGACCATTGATACAGTCTATAACTCACATTGCAGATCTTCAGTTGTCTGTATCTTATTCTTAGGTGTTTTATATTTGCGTGTGCCAAAACACACAGAATATCATTAATATGGAGAATATGGGCAGTGATGTCTTACCATGACCAAATTGTCCCATATAATGACTTGAAAGTGCATGATCCTTGTGAATCCAAAAAAGCTAAGTATATTGATGTGTGCAGAGCAAAAAAAAAAAACTATTAGCAGCTATGGAAGCTGTATTAACCAACCCATTGAAGCGTTTTTCTGAACATGCTAAAATGATCTCTAATTTCTTGACATTGTTATAGCAAAAACAAGGCTTCCCATGGGATGAATGTTAATTTTGTTTCTGAAACAATGAGACTGATGTTAAAATACAAGAGATCCAAACAGAAGGAATTAATCACAAAGACAAGACCAGAAAAGTTCATTACGCTTATTTTTGTCTGTGACTAATAAATGGAGCTGATGAACAAAATGAATATGATTACAGATGAGAAGTCATATTGATAGATGGTAAGCCTTTTTTCTGCCAATTACAAACAAAAGTATTGGAAAATAAGTATTTTATCTCCTTCAATACCTGGAAACTCTACTTAAAAATAAAGAAAGTTCTAAGTATCAGCAAATTACATAAGTGTAAGTGATGCGAGTATTTAACTACAGTCAGAACAGCATGACCGTTCCCACAATTCTCATGGAGGGAAAGTACAGTATATTTATACACATCAATGGGAAGGAGAGCTGAACAATATTGGACAATGCTGAGATCATCCTTGGATGGACCGTATTTCTTGTAAAGATATGAATCCACAATAAAAACAAAATAATTTCATGTTAATTAAATACTAACAAGGTATCAATCGTACATAACAGCTCCACTCAGCTCTTATTCAATGAAATGTAATAGTGAAATATATTTTAATTATAGTGATCATTAATTAGTATTCCAAGAATTGGAATATTAATAATAATTGCTTACACTTATATAGCGCTTTTCTGGACACTCCACTCAAAGCGCTTTACAGGTAATGGGGACTCCCCTCCACCACCACCAATACTAATATTGAATACTAATTGAAACCCAATTGAAAACCATGAAACAAGATTTTCTTAAGAATACTAGTAACAACTGGAACTTACAAAACATCACCTCCAAATGCACTAAAAGCACATTCAACAGTGGCAGTCTTGCAGGATATTCTAGGCTCTAAACGCCTGACTTCAAGGTTTAGAAATTTCTCCTGCATTTCCTCTCCTACCATCCCTAATTAAATGAATGTGACCATTTTCATTAGGTTTCCGTTTGTCAAATTAGTGCTAAAATCAAGCCACTGGTGCTTCTTAGCTCAGATGTAATACACTAGATGCCACTAAAGCAGACTGGTGAGCTGTGCTGCATGATGTACATTCACATTCACCAAAAAAAAGCTAAGCACTCCAAATTACTATGGCAGACTTTCAGTGTAACAGTGATTTTTATTCTAATCGGAAGCATAAATCTCAGCCAGTAATAAACAGTACAAAGAATGTTTAAAAATCAAAGTGCTTCGTAGGGCAATTAGTCTGCAGTCCTCTAATATCTACAGGGAAACGCCTGAGGAAAAATAATTGACTTTGCTAATATTACCCTTGGCAATAAGAAAACAGATTTGCATTTCATTATCGGTACCGAGTCCCTCATCTAATTGTTAGCCCCAAATGTGTACAGACATAAATGATGAGCTCAGAGGCCCTGATCAAAGAATCTCAGATAATTCATTGTGAGACTGAAAGAATTATTTACTTAGTAAAACTGACAGGTAATCCAAACTTGTAAAGATAATGCAAGTATTTCAAAAATGGCACTTGGTCCTAAGTCACAGTGTACTAGGAAGCAATAAAATGGCAAAATGCTTGCTTTTCATTATAAAGAAACAAAGGCAAAGCACTAATTTTTCTTTCATGGCTACAGTCAGAGGAAGTGTAAGTACTAATTGGAATCTGTGAGCGAAACCTAGCCAAGTTCAGAATTTGTCATTGCTCTTGGAAAATTATTTGTCATTGAGTGAATCAGAGCACAGTTTTTTTTTCTTCTCTTCAGGGGAGGATCAGCTTATCTTATGCAAAAATTAACTAATTTTAGGCTGGATATCATGATCACAGTTAGGGTTAGGGCTAAAGTAAGGCTAGAATAGTGTTGAAGTAATTGTTCAGCATTCAGTTTTGGTTAAGGATATAGTAAAGTCTTTAGCTTAAGAGCTAAGACATAAGTCTGGGGTGATGACTTATATTTGCAATTGTACTTCATACGAATTTCAGCTATTACTGTAGATCTATACCTCACAGAAATAATGTCACAAAATAATAAAAAATATGTTGATCTTTCATCTTGTCTATCCCAATGAGAAAAAAAAAACAGATCTTGTGTTGTCCTTTGTCCTGTGATTCCTCGTCTCTACCTCGTTCGATCAAAATTTCAACTCCCATGGGCCAAACTAAACAAAAAGTGACAAGCACCTATTTTTTCAGACATGGTTAAAGTCTGGATGATCTGTTGCGGGGCTGTGATAACTTAAGTCTTCCTCAGTTCTCTCTTCTATAATGAATAAAAATACAAAGCCCTTGAGTTCTAAAAATTACCAGAACCTAGGTTTCTACAAAGCATCATCTCACAAACAGCTAGAGCAAGTTGTTTACATTTTTCCTATCTTCGGCAGTAGCAAAGTGATTTAGTTTGTTAGGCTAAATTGGAATTCAGTTCTAAAGCATTTAATTGGAATAAAAGTCTACAGATAAGCTGACTCTTCATGACCAGGACTGGACACCCTTAACATACAGACACCAAACCTACTCTTCTAATTGACAGCGCCTCAAAGTCAAAATGCTACTAATAAAGAATCTATAGGAGAGGTTAAATAACCACCTTTGCTTTAGTACTGCCTCAAATGTTAAAATTGAAAATTTCAAGTTTAAAAATATGATACTTGCACATGGGATGTGAAATGGAACTTATGCAATACCTTTGTGTTATTCAGTTGAGCCAGACCAGTACAGGCATTGGCTAAAAGGAAATCCCCACTTAACACTGCCATTTTGTTTCCAAACTCCATGTCCTTCAGAGGGCCATCAGAATTGATCCAGTCTTTCAGGTTCACTATCCCACGATGCACCAGGAACGCAGTGTGGATGAGCTCAGTTATCTCAGCAAGGTTCCGCTGGCTGCAAAACAAAGGAAGTAAATACGCTAAGAACCTATAACTTGCACCCCAAAGAAGACAGCTAAAATCCAAATTGGCATAGGATTTCGAAAACACCCACTTTAGCATATTCTAATGTAAATGTGTATATAAAAAACATCACTGTAAAAGGTGCGTAAATTGTTCATTAACTTTTCCCCCCTCGATACCAGCATCAGTATAAACTGTACATCTTGTTAAGTCACATGCTATATCATTTTACAGCTGCCTAGGAAAATGAAAGCCAATCAGATCCACATTGACATACTTAACACCTTGTTTAATGTAATTCAGCACTAAAAAACTGTATCCTGGATATATTCTGTTCTTGTAAACCTGAACAAAGAACAAACACATTTAACTACAGTATTGTTGGGATGTATAATGCAGATTGTTTCCTATTCCTTTGCAATTTGTCAATTATGTCCTTGTGAAGTAGCAATCATTCTTGCAACAAGCTGCCGATTTTGATTTGTTTCCTAAACACAAAAATATTAAATGACTGTAAAACAAAACAAAAAAATAATGTACTTTTAGCTACGGTAGGTTATAAAAACCTCTTGCGAGCACAAGCAGAGACGAAAGCGAGTTTTGCTCAGGTCCAGGCATTCCTGGCTAGGCTACAGCTCTGCTCTGCCAGCCTGCTTGGACGAATGTTTTCCAGGAAGGTTTATCTTAATTCCGCTCCTGTGACGGGCAGCCCATCAGCATTACAGGCTCCAGGCTGATGAAACGAGCCTCCTGACTAGAATACCAATGAGAAGCAGTGGTGGACTGAGGAGGGGGTGAAAAAAGGTGGTGTTGTACTGCAGCAGAAGATGCTTGGGCACAAGGGGATTCCGAGTGATAAGTACCGAAAAACGCTGCTAACTTCAGCGACGGCTCATTTCCCCAGCTGAAGGCAGCCATTAATATCCAGAGAAGATCAGCTCCACCTCTCTGACCTCTGCTAGTCAAGTGTGCCGATGACAGCCCTGTCTCTTCATCGTGCCCACTAGGGCTTTCAACACTGCAGCTTCAACAGCACTCAGGGCACCCATGTGGAGCTTCAGAAAAAATCTGTCAGAGTGGCTTTTACCTCAGTAATGTATTCCACTGACAGCCATATTTAATTTACTATAAAAATCCATTTAAAAGAACCTTACTGTCAAGGAAAGGCACTCTGTAATACTAAAGTCCACAATATGAATTAGAAATAACAGCTATTCTTGATTATCAGCTAAGGGAAAGAAATTGATCTTTTAGAGCTGCTTGGCAGAGCTGTGGCAAGCTATAATCACATGTTGATTCAACCATTACATGAATAATCAGGTGTCTTTCTCCAAGACTGAATTGTTACAAAGAGAAATGAAAAATCTAACAATCAAGTGGAAGAGACAGAGACAGTCACTTAAACATCACGTCTTTCACAGAACAAAGGTGTTGAATACATTTCCTGATGAGACAATTAGATTCCCATTTTCTCTCATCTCTGAGATTTGATTTTATTTATTTTTAGATATGGATTCTATTAATTAAACGACACATCATTTTCCAGCTGACATTAAAATTCGTCAGTGTTCACTTTGCCCCGTTCAGGCAGTCACCGTCACATTTCCTGAAGAACAAAACGTGTCCAACATTGCAGGTCTCTGTTTCTCAATGCAGTTAATTCCTCACATTCTATGCTTCTTTAAATGGAATATAACTTAGATTTCTGAGCCATCCACAACCCAATCTTTGCTATCAGGCTTTGATACACGGATACACGATGTACAAAAACAAACCTATCCAGGAATCTAGCGGATGGACATAAAAAAGGGGGCTTAAAATTATGGTCCAAGACTAATCACCTCTGAGATCTGACTGCAGAACACAATGTTTTTGCAGTCCAGATCTTCAATTCAGATTCAGAAGCTGAGCTGCGGCTGTTGTGTACCAGGACTGACCTCACTCACAGCCTGACAGGACAACACACTTTAACCCTTATTCTTAACCCCCTGCCATCTCCACTCCCCACATCACCATGTCAGACCAGAAGCATATGAAAAGGGTGCTTCCTATAAATAGCAACCACTTCTAGTTGCATAGCAACACAGCAGCCTCGGATGCCATCTTTGTGAACTGTTTTGCGCAGTGGCATTCCAGTTCTTGATGGTTTACATCTCAATTTTCCAAAGATAGCATTATCATTTTCCATTGTACACACTTTGGTGCTGTGATTTCCTGTTAATGACTATTAAAAAAGTTTCGTAGGTGCATTCTAAGGGCCTCTGATTAAGCCTCCTGTGGCTACAGAACGTTCTTGTTATCAGTATGTCCCTCTGGCTGTGGCCCAGGCTGATAAGCTCCATGTGGACTGCTTAAAAACTGTATTTCAAGACATACAGTATTTTTCTGGGTAAGATAAAGGTGTCCACAATGTTTATCTCTTTTATTTCCAAATTAAAATGGAAATTAAAACGTTCACCCAGGTTAAGAATTTATTCAGCTTGATGCAGATTGTTTCTTAAAAGAAAATGTTTCTTAAAAAGAAAGTGTATACAAGCTGAAGAACAGTAAGAGTTCACATTTTCACAAGTGATCTATCTGTAAGGGATAAATACTAATGTAATTGGGCATACTTCACAGTTTGCATTAGAAATGTAATGCAATCAAATTTAATTTGTGAAGCCATGAAGTTGTCCTATTACTGTATATGTGGTAAGACCAGTTTCCACTCTTCGGGACAACATTACCACTATTTGGAAATGAAACATATCACTGCTTTATTTTTCTTATTTACACTTTACTGAGCAGTAGATAAAATACTGCACTGTAGAATGAAGGTGTAGTACAAAGAATTACAATGTTTATATACCTTTTTTTTAACATTTACAGTATTCATATATCTTTGCCCTCAGGCTAGATGCAAAACATACAAGCTGATGGTAATCACCACAAGATAGTATGAGCTGTACATGTAGCTAATTAAGCACGAGTTTGATTTTGCCATTTTACCTCTCCAAAACATTAAAAGATCATGGCAATTTGATTGTAAATAAATGAAAGAAACCAGCCTTTATTTTGGAACTACATCTAAATGGAAATATTAGACACTTGACTTAATATTTAATGATTACTAATTTATGTGACTTTGACTTAATACATGCACTCCCTTTAATACAGCCTGTTTGAGATCACACAGATCTTATGTCAGACTGTAGGACTACCTATTCGTGCTCAGTGAACAAAAATAGGTACATTCAATGCATTTTACATGTATTTCTTTCCCAACATAAAAGCACCATTTGTAATTAATAAATAATAATAATAATAAAAAACAATAACAACAACAACTCCTTACACTTATATAGCACTTTTTCTGGACACTCCACTCAAAGTGCTTTACAAGTAATGGTGACTGGTAACAGCCAATGGGAAATTTGGCCAGGACGCTGGGGTGACACCCCTATTCTTTTCAAGAAACACCCTGGGATTTTAAATGACCACAGAGAGTCAGGACCTCGGTTTTACATCTCATCCAAAGGATGGCACCTTTTTACAGCATAGCGTCCCCATCATTATACTGGGGTAATGAAATGTCTTTGCTACGAGCTCACCGGGGAAGGGGAGTTTGACTGAATGTTTCGATACCGTTTACTGGACAGTAGCAGAGAAAACAGTTTACGACTGGGATGACTGGGGTCCTTGAAAATGGGCCTGGCCTTCTTCAGACATCTAGCTGAGTAGATATCCTGGATGTTTTGTAGCTCATAGCCGGTAATGAGCTGTGCTGACTTCACCACCCTCTGCAGTACTTTACGATCCCAGGAGGAGCAGCTCCCATACCAGGCAGTGATGCAACCAGTCAGGATGCTCTCAATAGCGCATCTATAGAAGTTGGCCTGGATATGTGATGGCATGCCAAACCTTTTCAGCCTGCAGAGAATGAATAGGCGCTGCCATGCTGTTTTGACCATGATGTTGGTGTGGTGGGTCCAGGTTAAGTCCTCTGTGATGTTAACTCCCAGGAACTTAAACCTGCTGACCCTCTCCACTGCACTAACATTGATATAAATTGGTATGTGGTCTCCTCCCTAGTGTTACCTATAATCAGCAATCATCTCCTTAGTCTGGCTAATGTTCAGAGAGAGGTTGTTCTCCTGGAACCATGCGGCCAGGGTTTCAACCTCCTCCCTGTACGCAGACTCTTCACCACCTGTGATCAGGCCGATGACTGTTGTATCGTCCGCAAACTTAATGATGGAGTTTGAGTTATGCCTGGTGACACAATCATGGGTAAATAAGGAGTAGAGGACAGGGCTAAGCACACAGCCTTTGGGGGCTCCAGTGTTTAGAGTCAGAGTAGAGGAAATGTTGGTGCCCGCCCTCACCACCTGCGGACGTTCTGCCAAGAAGTCTAGGATCCAGTTACAGAGGGAGGTGTTCAGCCCCAGGTCCTGGAGCTTGATGACGAGCTTTGAGGGCACTATGGTATTGAATGCTGAGCTGTAATCAACAAAGGGCATTCTGTTTATACCTTATGTATAGGTTATATATAAAGGTTTATACCTTTATATACAGTACCTTAAAAGTTGAATGTACTTTGTAGAGTATTATTTTCTCTTTCTAAAGCACATGCCTTTTAAATCACTTAAAAATTAAGATTAGTATCAGTTGTACCAATAGATCCAGCTGAGTGTAAATAATACAATATTGTATACTGGTGTCAGCTACATGCTTGTAGGTCCCAAGAAAAGCCTTTACTTTAAATTGGAAACAATGGGCGTTGTCAAAGGGTTTATGCAGCTATCCTAGATCCTTGAGGTAGTTAACAATGACCCAGATAAAAAGAGTTGTACTAATCATTAAAGCATTCTCTGTTTAGTCATTAAGTTTGCCATCTTAGAACATCAATATTGAACAGGTACCATCATTATACAACTATGACTGGAGCATTCAGCCATGAAGGCCTCATGGCAAAATAAAAGACGCAGGTGGATATGCTGCAGATCATCTCGG